TTGTGTCATATTTCCAGTTTCTAGGATTTGGGGTAAAGCAGGGGTAATGTCTACACCATCTACTTCCCAAGTGACTAGGACCTGAGGTTGCTTTGCCACACTGCTCTCATGGATGGATTATTTGATAAAGTTAACTATAAAGGATTTATTAGAAACGTGCTGTTTCTTGGACATGGAACAACATCAGATTTACAGTGGTTTCTAAGTGCTTACAAGTGTTTTTTTTTTGTTTTGTTTTGTTTTTGTTTCCTTTTATTTCTGGTCACAGACACATGCACCATTTTCTTACAACAGGGCCCAGGGGCTACTAAGACTAGCATTGTTCACAGCTGCCTTTGCTCCATTTATCCTCTTGGAAGCAGTCAGGATTCTCATCCCTAGTGATCCTTTATTCCTGTCCATTGCAGGTGAACATGATCCATGCTGCCGATCCTGTGGAACATGCCAGCCACATGGCTGCCCAACCACAGTTTGTTCACCCTAAGCAATGCTTTTTTGTTTACCTGTCAGGCCACAACCTGCTCAGTCCTCAATAATTTACAGGAAGGACATGGGAGGCACCTAGGTGCAAACACTAAGCATCACACAGAGCTTAGGCAGATATCTCTGTCCCACCTGGCTGGGAGCATGGAAACACCATTCCCACTCACCATTACACATGAGGAAATGATTGCCTGCCCACAGCCACAGTGACCCAGCAAGTTTGAGACCATGCAAAGCTGTTCATGGCACTTTCTAGTCTCTGAGGGTCATGTGGAGTGTGCCAACCTAGGATAGCCAGTGACAGGTGGGAAGCCTCAATCTTGGTGACCTTCCTGCAGCCCTGTTTGTCCTTTTTTCTCCCTTGACAGTCATCCTGAATCCTGCCACTATGGTGATTGTTGTTTGCCTTTACTTCCTGGTGTTTATGATCATCCTGGGGGTGTTTCAGATGTGGCTTGCACATCAGTGAACCCCGCAGGACCAGGACACGGGGAAGGAGAATGAGATGGATGGCAATGACTCTGCCTTGACGATCACCATGAACTCCAAAAAAAAGGTAGGAACAGACAGGGCCCCAGGCTACAGAGCACTGTAGGCCAGGTTCCTTCATGTTCATGTGCCTGCACCTTATAACCACACAACTCGGTGAGCTAGAATCCTCAAATCCAGAGAGGAAATCTGAGGCTCAGTGAGGCCTTACTGAAGTTCATACAACCTAGTAAGTGTAAGTGCAGAGATGAGCTGGCTTCAGGCTGGTGCTCCTCCCACTCTATGCAGAGACAGTGCTCCAAGGAGGGAACTGAGCATCCCTATCCAGGAGCTCTCTGCATGCCTGGACTCCACGGAGAGGCCACTTCCATTGAGGCCTAGGCCCCTTTCCCTGGACAGTCTTCCTCACTGGGGGACATCTCCCTTCTGCTGCTGCTCCTGGAAGGTGGACACTTGATGACTTGGTCATGAGCTGGACTCCCACATCCTTCTCTTTGCAGACCTACCAGGACCAGCACAGAAGGAGGAGGAGGAGAAGGAGGAGGAAGAGAAAGAGAAGTGTGAGGCTGGAGAGGAAGACATCACTATTGACCAGTGGGAGATCTGTGAGGAGAAGAAGGGTGGCCCTGGGGACGTCTAGAACTTCAACCAGCATAAGCAGCTGGATTGGGAAAGCTCCACACTGAGTTACTGAGCACAATCTGGACACTTGCATCCCCACCTCAGAATGTCTGCTACCCATCTCCCAGCCAGTGAGTCCTCCATGTACAAAATATCTTCAGCCAGCAGGTCTGAAGACCCCCATTGCTGATTATCCACCCAGTGTGTGGAAATCTAACTCCCACCATCTGCCCACCCCTTCTGGATATCTTTTTCCCAAAAGCCAGGAGCTGACTCTCTCTCCCTGCCATGTCCTGCCAGCTCAGGAGCTGCAACAATCCAGGCTCCTACCATCCAGTAAGTTGCCCACATCTTGCACCTCCAGAAAAGTTGCAGTGACTTAACTAGCTGACAAAGAGTAAAAATTGTAATCATTTTTTTCTTTTCTTTTTGAAGGTCTTTATTTATTCTTCCAAACTAGTGCTTTTACAAGTGGTAGAATGGGGTTAATATATAGATGATCAACGGAATTTTTAATGCTTTTTAAATACATTGTAATTCTCTGTGTCCTTTGTGCTAGTGTTCTCAGGACTAGGATGTGAAGTGCAGTGACCCTGCTTTTGTTCCCTCTCCCTTGGGAAACTAGGATGGGAGGCCTACTAACTCTGGTCTAGGCATGAGGCTATGCAGGATTTGATGTGCTGTTAGAGACCAGAGTAGTGGTTTGTGTTTGAAGTCTGGAAATGGGTCTTCATCTTTGGGGTTCTGCACACTTATAGCATCATCTTTGGGATGGGATCTATGGGGTCCCTGGCTTTTCATGCACTCCTCTCAGGACCAGAAGCTTCCTTTTCTGTCACTCAGGCTCTGTGTTCCTGTACTGAGGCTTCATAAATGTAAATTTTCCTGCTGGTGAAGTTCTCTGTGGTTCATTAAAACTGAAAGCTGTGGTTCAGATAACTTGACCACTTGGTTTTGGAGATAACAGTGGTTTCCTGAGAAATATGCACTCATAATGGAGGAAGGCAGTGTGCTACAATGTTCCAAAACAGTCTGCATCTACCCCACCCAAACCCTTGTGTGTTGCTCCTGCAGAATGCCCGTGCATTGGGGTCAGATCCTCACTCCAGAAGCCAAGAATCTTGCTGCTCTGATCCATGGGAAGGTCAAGGAGAGAAAGAATTTGGGGCTAGAGCAACAAAGAACTTTGTTCTTCATGTACATGTCAGATACTGGACTGTAAACCTGAGGGTCATCATGCACACTGCCTCTGTGTCTTCACTGCCAGTCTTAAGGATGACTGTGCTGTTGTGTGGCTGCCCATCCAAATGCAGTCTGTGTAGATACCGTCTAGACAGTGGTAGAAACTAAGAGAGGGATGTCCTCATATGGTCTATAGTGCCTTGGTGTTCCTGCCCAGATGCATGTATTGATGCTAGGTGGGAAAGTGTGTACACTACAGTAAAGTTCTGGTTCTAAATCCAGCTGGAGTGATGCCTGTTTACTGCCTTGTTTAAATTTTGTTTTCCTTTTGAGCCAAGAACATAAGACCATAGAAAGGCTTTAATTTCTTTCCACTTGCCTTTCTGTTTTGTGAAAAAATACAGCAGACTCAATCCACATCAGTGATATTTAACATGCAACATGAAATGATTGAAAACAAATAGAAGATGTTCTCACTGGGCAACAGACCATACACCCAGAAATTGCTGAGGATGTGCAAGGTCTGTGACCACGCCTTGAAGCATAGTACATAGATATGTGTGGTTTTTCCTACTGTAAAGGAGGCAGGTGGCCTGATTAAATTCAGCATTTATTTGGGAACAAAAGTGTCATCTCTGGCTACTGCAGATGAGACAGGTGCTCTGGTGGCACAACAGCTATTGAAAATAGAGCGAGCTGGCATTTGGAATTTCTTTTAAGCTGTGTACCTCTACTGCTAAGGGCCAGAGTCTGCTGGCCCTGCTGAGTCTTGGGAGACACCTTAGTGAGCTAACTGTGCATCAGAATTACCAGGGGCTTCTTCATTTTTTTGTTTACACTGCTAGAAATCAAACCCAGGGCCTCATGCATACTCAGCACATGCTCTATGAGTGGGCTCTGGCCCCAGCCCACTGTGTGTTTTTAAAAGCTCAAGTCCTGGATGCTTCACTACGGTGGGCTTCAGAAACCAGAAAGAGGCACTGGAACCTGCAGTAAAGACAGTTTCTCTTGTCTAGCCCTTTGGGATTACTGAGGCTAAGCTTGGACTATCTCAGAGTAAGTGCCCTCAGAGAGAAAGACCCCACCTCACATGGCCCAAGATTATTCCCAGATGGTTCCTCAAAGTTGAGCCCTGGGGGGACATCAAGCCCCATCCCTCCCTTAAACCTGCAAGAGCAGGCAGCCTATTCACACATCACCACACAGACCCCCTCTGACCTTTCACCCTGACCAGGAGGAGCTATGCCAAGCTCATTTTTTATAGTATACATAGAGGAAGCAGGCTTCTCTGCAGCTGTAGTGGTTCAGTAAATAGAGGGTATTATTTTCTTACTTGAAGGTGAAAGACGTGAGGGAATCCTCTACCTGAGAGTCACTTTAGCAGTGAAGAGCAAGCATCCCTGTGGCTACGGGGTGGCCTGGCTTCTTTGGGAGCTGCCCAGGACTTGGTCAATGGAGAACACGCAGGGTGGGCCACACAGGTGGCAGAAGTTGATCTGGGGATTGAGGTGTCCTAAGTGGACAGGAGTCCAAGTAACTTCTAGGTGGAGAGCCTGGGAATAAGGCTTCCCCAAGAGGAGGTCAGTCTTTTCTGGACAAGATCTACCAGCTGGAAGACCTGGAATGCCCATCCTAAGAAACAAGAGCAAGGTACAACCTCAAGGTGCCCAACTCACAGTGCTTGGACACAGTGCAGCACCTCTCCTCTGCACTTGGGTGCATTTGCATTTATGGTGTTTGGTTCTTTTTGTTATTTTTTACTTGTAGATGGAAAAATACCTTTATTTTAATTTATTTTTATGTGGTGCTGAAGATTAAAATCAGCGCCTCACACGTGCAAGGCAAGCACTCTACTACTGAGCTTACAACCCCAGCCCTGGCTGTTTGGTTCTTTATTATAGTTTTTTTTATATATGTATGACAGTGGAATATATTATAATTCCTTTTACACAAATAAAACACAATTTTTTCTATGTATTGTTGTATACAAAGTATATTTTCACAAATTTGTGTCTTTGTACATCTACTTTGGATAATAATGTCCATCACATTTCCCCATGATCTTTAAACATTTCTTGTCTGTCGAAATAACTAGTGTAAACAAAAGGCAATTGTGTTGTTCTTTCCCATGAGGTGCAGGACAGGTGTGATGCCCGATCTAGGACACCCCAGGGTAGCTGTCCTCAGAACAGGTTTCCCAGCCTGTGGCAGCTCAGAGGTGGCCACTATTGCCAGTTGTCTTTGGTCAGGTTGTGTGCCAGCCAGTTCACTTTAGTCTTCCAGCTCTCCCTCACGGCTTCATTGAACTTCACCCTGAAGTGCTTCAGTGCCTCCTCCTCTGTCTTCCCCAGCACCAGAGTGTCCTGGAACAGAATCATCACAACTGTATCAACATTCAGGGGTCCTGACCCTGCTGCATCTGCAATCCCTTCTGCCTCCCTATACTCCTGCACCCTCAGGTTGTTGAAATTCCTTTCTAAAAGAACTGCAAGCAGATGGTCAGGTGGCCTTACCTTAGCTGAGAGAAAGGCAGGAGAAGCTTTAGGGAAAACACCCCCTCCCACTCTGCCTCTCACCAACTGAAAAGACAGAAATGAAAAGTGTCTTGCAAATCTACAAGGGACTTTATTTCATGCATGAAAGACACTGAGGACACATGGGATGGCCAAACAAGATCACAGTTCACCTGCAACTGGGCGGGACTAGCCTAAGGGAGCACACCACTCTGGCCACCTCCCACCATACTGCACTGCTTGGCCTGGGACAGCATGAGGGCCCCCATCTGTGAGTTGAACCTCCTAGGTCCCTGAGCTGTTTGGGCAAGATGTACTCTGACCAGGATGAGCTCTGCCAAGCTCATTTTTTTATACTATACAAAGGGCAGGCAGGCTCCTCCACAACCCTAGAGGTTCAGGCAGGCCTTGAGAAGTATGTGGTGGACCCTGGCCTCCAGTCTGGTGTGTCCCTGTGCTTGCATACCTTCAAATACTGTATGTCTTTGGAGGATCTGAGCTCATGCAGGCCTGCTGCCTGCATCAGAGCAAAGAGTTGGAGGAAGAGAAGCCCATAGTGCCACAGAATGCTGTAGGCATGTTCACAGTAGCCTTGAAACCTGCAGAGAAGGAGGATATAGATAAAGCCCTGGGTCCTCCCAGCTACCCCCTCTCCCAAACCAGCAGGGGTTCTGCATCCAGCCACCACCTGCCCTGAGTGTCTGCCCCTGGTCATATTATGGGTGTACCCAGATCCTATAACCAATGCCCCTGCCTTGGCCTGCCTCCTACACCTCCCATGGACCTCCTGTTTGCACTGCCCAACAGGGTACTCTGAGATTGGAGTGCTCCTGCAGAGAAGGCAGCACCCCCAGGGTGGAGGCAGAAGTTAGGCTGAGGGTATGTCCCCATCCCTGCCCTGTCTGGACACTGTCCCCTCACTGGGGCCCTGGGCACCCTCACCTTTCAAACTTCCCATTATTACTAGTCTTTCCCTGCTAAATCACGTGGACAAAGTCATGGGTGAGGATGAATGGGACTCGCTCACAGTTGATTTCAAACTTGGTCTTGAAATTCCCCAGAAAGTGTCCAAAGTCAATATGAAATAGCAGAGGGGAGAGAAGGGCAGCTACTAAATAGGCTTCACAAAGAGAGGTTCTGGTTAGAGGAAGTCATCAGGACTTGGGGCACTCTTCTGGGAGCTGTGGGTAGTGCAGAGAGGCCACTGGGCCAGGGATGTAGAACAAGCTCACTGGGAAGCTGAACACAGTGCCCCTTTCCAGCCCATTCTCACGGATTATGATGTTGTCACTGTGCAGGTCACCAATGCCCAGTACATATATTTCCACACAGTAGCCGGCACAGGAGAGGGTGAACTCCTCAATGGCTCAATCCAGGGCTTCTCTGGGTGGGGAAGATTGAAATCCAGGGCTCCTTATATTTTCCCTTCTCTTGAATCTGGCCTTGTGTTAATCAACAAGGAAGGCATTATTCTGGAGCATAGATCACCATGCCCAGCTTGAAATTGCCCCCTTCTTCCACACAATACCATGCAGAGAAGCCAAGGTCTATGTGTTAGATAAAGAGAGGCTGCATAAAGAGGTATAATTGACAGCCAAGTCCCTAGGTGTGTGACTGGGCCCTTGGTAGATGCTCTGGGCTCAGGCAATATCACAGATGCTAGCCATAGCACCAGCTATTTCAAACCACAGCAGAAACACTCAGCAGAACCCACTCAAGCTGCATATTTGTGACTAAACATGGTGGTGGTTTTAATGCCCAAAGAGTTGAGTGGCATAACACAGCCATGAAAAATGGACACACGGGAACAGTGACCTTCTCTGTCCTGCCTCAAATCAGATGTGGGCCAGTGCTCAGCTGAGCAAAGCAGCCATGGAAACTGTCACAGGCCTTCCCTCACCTTTCACTCTATTGAGCCTCTCTCAGGAATAAGAAAGCCTACCCAGGGTTCTTGGACTTGAGCCAATTGAGCAGGGCATCCTTGTTGAAGGCAGCCATGGCAGCCAGGTTACTCTGGTTCAGCTAGATGTTGGCAATGGTGTCCAAGTGCTGCACTGCCTCAATGAGGCCCATGCAGTCACCAGTGGGTAGGCAGCTGTAGGGGGTCATCCTAGCACATGAGAGGAGGCACAGGCAGACACTATGGTTAAGAAAATTCTCTGGGGCTACTGGAACCCCCTGGAAATTGGGGCGCCCAGCAAAACCACAGGGAACACTACTCAAATTCCTGAGGATGCCAGACGGGGTGTGGGGCCCTGGGGAAGGTGCCTCAGAGACACAGAACTGGCACCCAAGTTGCAGAGCACACCTTGGCTGGGGTCATGTTTGCTCTGAAGAGAATGAGTCAGCGGGCTTGGAAGAAGTTGGCACTGCTCCCCAAGGGGTAGGAAGCCAGGAAAGAGGAGCTGAGCACCAGGAATGGCCTTACCCAAACCCCTCCAGCTGCCCTACCCCTCTTGTAAGAACAGCTGCTCTCACAGCCAACATGGAGGTGTCAGCTTAGACCAGGAACTCCTCCAGAGGCGCAGGCTCTGAGGCCTGTTACAAACCCAAACAAACAGGTGATGGATAGAGGCCCCACCTTAGGTCCAGGCCCTCCTGCTTCCACAGGGCGTCAATGAGCTGGATCATCTACAGAGTCAGCATGTCCTGGCGGAGGTCTGGAAGAACAAGAGTTTCTAGTGGGTTATAAACCCATGCAAGGCTCAGAGTATCTGAGCTCTATCTTCTCAGGGGACCCCTGGGGCCCTACCACAGAACAGTATGGGCCTAGGTAAGAAGGCCAAGGCATGTCCCCTGCCCACCCTGGCTCACCATCCCCGTTCTTAAAGATGATGCCAACGCTGTCACCACTGCCTGTCTCCTCACTGCTATACATGATCCACAAAGGTTTCATCTTGGAGTCCATGAAGGTGCACCTTTCCACACTGCAGGCAGAGGGCAGTGTTTGCCTGGGCGGTTGGGGGCTTAGGGTGGGGGAGGGGGCTTAAGGCCTGGCTACAGGTGGGGCTAGGCCTGGGGCTCACCAGACTTCTGCCAGCATTATGCTGGGGTCCAATGGGGACTGAAAGTATGAAAGGGCTTCTAGGAAGTATCCTGGCACATGTACAAGTGCATCAGCTCCTTAGTTTGGGGCTTGATGGTCTTCTGGGAGCTCACCTTCACAAAGTCACTCAGGGCCTTCAGCTTGCTCAGTGCTTCTGCCTGGTGGGCAGAATGGAGTAGCAGTAGTGCACATAAGCCTGAGCCAGAACCAGAAGTATGACTGTAAAGGGGCCTGGAAGGGGAGCCCGCCTCAGGCACAGGCACTCTGAGCCTCACCTGCTTCATCAGCACCTTCATGTGGTGGGTGCTGCTCCTGAAGTAGGCCTCCATGATGAGGCCAAAACGCAAGGCCACGGACGGCACATGCATCTCAAAGCTGGAGGGAGGAGATGGGGCTGAGAATGGCCAAGAGTGGCACATAGCCCCTCCCCAGCCCAGTAAACATGAGGTCAGCAGGCCAGGAGAACCTCATCCCTCATGGCTTTTCTAGGTTCCCAAGGAATCAGCAGGGGTGCATCCAGCTACCGAAGATGCCAGAATAGGAAGTGGCCAATCTTTCCGTTGGCCAGAGCCCGGTCCAACAAGAATTGGGTCAGTTCGAAGTCCAGGTAGGACTTGTACTTGAGGACCTGCACCAGCTGCAGCAAACACTGGAAAAACTCGTCATCCCTGTAGGGGAGGAAGGCTGGTTGAGTCTGGGGTTCTGAAACTCAGGAAGCAGGTCTCCAGCTGGCAGGTGACTGGAAAGAGGATGAGGCCAGCCTATGCTCATCTCCACACAGCACCCACTTCCAGGTTGCCAGGGCAAGCTGTCTTAGTGAGGAGCTGGCAGCCTGTGGGCCTCAGTGCCCAGCTGGGACTCATGTCAGTTTCCGCAGGGACCTGATGGCAAAGAAGCCCACGTGGCAGTCAGGGAAGCTGAAGTCCAGCAGCTCCAGGGCATTCAGGACCAGAAGCTCAGGCCAGGAGCACAGCAGGTAGAGCATCTGGAGGGCGCTATGCAGATGGTGGGGGGCCCACTGCTATCTCTCTACTCCAGCTATGCCCCTGGTGCCCCTCTCCACCCACCTCGGCCACATCCTCGTGCTTGTTCCACTTAGTCACGAGCAGCAGGTAGGCCAGAGCCTCTGGGAAGTGCTCCTGCACTTCATGCCGCATCTTCCACACCAGGTCCTTCTCATGTTCATACAGCTCTCTCGACCCCCACTGCTCCAGGATTCCCTGCAGCTGCAGCTTCTAAGGGGCACAGGCAGAGTGAGGCCTCCAGCCCAGCACATGGCTCCATGCCCCACCAGCACCCCAGCTCACCTCCTCTTTGGTGGTAGGCCCATGCTCCCTGTGACGACCCAGCTCTAGAATCTGCAACAAGTGTACCTGCTGTGAGCTCCCCAGGCCTAGGCCAGCATTGGCAGGGCTCTAGGCAGGGCGTCTGCACCTTAGCACTACTGCCAACCACTCTTCCTGGTGGGAGCCCTCCTGCACACTGCAGGGCGTTCAGTAGCATCTCCAAGCTCAGCCTGCCACAGGCCAGTAGCACCTCTCCTATTGGCTGTGACAGCAAAATGTCATCAGACATCACGAACATCCCCTGGTGGGCCACATAGCTACTGGAAGGCCTCAAATCA